ACCCAACTGGGAGCAGAAGGCACGCCAGAATCTGGACACGAACTGACTCCCACGGTCTGAGACAATCACCTTAGGTAACCCATGTAGGCGAAAAATCTCCCTGGAAAAGACCGTGGCCAGTTCCTGCGCTGTGGGTAATTTCCTGAGTGGAATGCAATGGCACATCTTGGAAAACCGATCGACGATCATGAGGATGACCGTATGACCCCGAGACACCGGGAGGTCTACAATAAAGTCCATCCCTAGATGTGACCAAGGACGCTCCCCATTGGGAATGGGTTGCAGAAGACCCAAAGGGAGATGCCGTGGAGACTTATTCTGGGCACAGATCGAACATGCCGCTACATAAGAGGCAATGTCGGCACGGAGGGTTGGCCACCAGAATAAGCGAGAGACGACCCAACACAGCTGGTTCTTCCCTGGATGCCCGGCAGTTTTGGCGTTATGGTAGGTACGCAGCAGGCGGGTGCGCAATCCCTCGGGTACGAAACATCTACCCTCCGGCCTCCCGGGAGGAGCATCAGTTTGAGCCGCCAAAATCTGCTCCCCAAGGGGAGAGGTCAGACTGGTGCGAATGGCAGCCAGGATCTGATCTGGAGGTATAAGTGAGATTGGCTCAGAGTCCTCCCTGGACAACTCAGAGTATTGCCGTGATAACGCATCAGCCCTGACATTCTTGGAACCAGGCAAATATGAAACCACATAGTTGAAGCGTGACAAGAACAGAGCCCATCTGGCCTGGCGGGGTGTCAATCTCTTGGCCTCCGAAAGATAAGTCAGGTTCTTGTGATCGGTAAGAATGAGGACCGGGAACCGCGGAACCCTCGAGCAGGTGCCTCCATTCCTTGAGAGCCAGAATGATGACCAACAACTCCCGATCTCCAATCTGGTAGTTGCACTCAGCCGAGGAAAGCTTCCTGGAGTAGAACCCGCAGGGAAGTAGGGGTCCATCGGGCGACCGACGCTGAGACAGGAGAGCCCCTACTCCCGTCTCGGAAGCATCAACTTCGAGGACGAAGGGCAACCCAGGATTGGGATGCGAAAGAATCGGAGCCGAAGCAAAGGCAGCTTTCAGAGCCTCGAAAGCTCTGATGGCCTCGGATGGCCACTCGTGAGGGTTACTCCCCTTCTTGGTTAGGTCAGAGAGAGGCTTTGCCAATGTGGAGAAGTTCCTGACGAACTTCCGATAGTAGTTGGCAAAACCCAGAAAGCGCTGAATGGGCCGAAGACCATTGGGACGAGGCCACTGCAGAACTGCCGCAAACCTTCTGAGGGTCCATGGAAAATCCCTCCGCGGAAATTATGTAGCCCAAAAAGGCAACCTGGGATCGATGGAACTCGCACTTCTCGAGTTTACAAAAGAGTCCGTTCTCACGCAATCGTTGCAGCACCTGCTTAACATCCTGGACATGGGACTCCATGGAGGTAGAGTAAACCAAGATGTCATCCAGGTAAACCACTACGCATTGCTGCAACAAATCACGAAGGACATCGTTTATGAATTCCTGAAAGACCGCGGGCGCGTTACACAATCCGAAGGGCATCACCAGGTATTCGTAGTGCCCAGTTCTAGTGTTAAACGCGGTCTTCCACTCATCCCCCTGTCTGATCCGTACGAGGTTGTACGCCGCCCTAAGGTCGAGTTTGGTAAAGACCGTTGCTCCCTTAAGGCGGTCGAATAACTCAGAAATCAAAGGAATAGGATATGCATTTTTAATGGTAATCCGATTGAGACCCCTATAATCGATGCAGGGCCTCAATTCCCCACCTTTCTTCTTTACAAAAAAAAACCCCGCTCCTGCTGGGGAAGTAGACTTACGAATGTGCCCCCGGGAAAAGCGCATCCACCACGTACTCCTCCATGGCCTTATTCTCCGCAACCGAGAGAGGGTACACCCTGCCACGTGGAGGAGTGGCCCCGGGTTGCAGGGATATGGCGCAGTCGTAAGGACGATGCGGTGGTAAGGTACCAGCGCGTACCTTATCGAACACGTCCCGGTATTCCCCATAGTCGGTGGGCAACGCAGAGTCCGAGGAGGCACACAATACCTTAACCGGCCCCCGGATGCACCCGGCCCCACACTGTGGAGACCATGAGAGAATCTCGGCTGTTTGCCAATTGAAGGTTGGATTGTGCCTCTGGAGCCAGGGATACCCCAAAACCACCAACCGAATAGTGTGGGGAAGAAATCACCTGAAAACAGGCCAACTCCCTGTGAACAGCCCCAATGGCTACCTCTATTGGCAGGGTCTCGTGGGTAACCTGCGGCGGCTGCAGGGGCCTGCCATCTATTGCTTCGAGAACCAATGGGGCAGCACGAGCCTGCAGGGGAATGGAGTGCTGCGCAGCAAACGAGCTGTCCAAGAACAACCCACCGGCCCCAGAGTCTACCAACGCCTGGGCCGTCACCGAGCCCCCTGTCCAAGAAAGGACCACGGTGATCAGTGGCTTATCCTTGCGGGACGCCGGGGACGAGGAAACTCCACCCAAGATCTGTCCCCGACATGATCTCAGGTGCGATCGTTTCCCGGACGGACCGGACAAGACTGCCGAAAGTGCCCACCGAGGCCACAGTACAGGCAGCGACCCTCCCGACGCCGAGCGGACCCGCCCGCTCCCCCTCGGAAAGGCGAGCAAACCCCAGCTGCATGGGTTCCCCACCAGACAAGCCATCCCCAGGAGGCGTGGGAGGAGAGGGAGGAACGGGTGGGACAGAAAACGCAGGTGCCAGTCGATTGGAAGGCCTCCGCAGGCGTTCCTTGAGTGAAGGCCTCTCCCTGAGCCTGGTGTCAATCAGGATCAGGAAAGAGATGAGCTCCTCCAACACCACAGGCAGTTCCTTAGCTGCAATCTCGTCCTTCAATGAGTCAGAAAGACCATGGGAAAACGCAGCCACCAGAGCCTCATTGTTCCAACCGACCTCTGCCGCCAGGGTACGAAACTCTATAGCATACTCGGCCACGGTCCGTGAACCCTGATGCATGGTCATGAGCAGCTTGGCCGCCGAGGCGGAACGAGCCGGTACGTCGAATACCCTACGGAAGGCATCGACAAAACCAGAAAAATCTTGAATCACCGGGTCGTTCCTCTCCCATAAGGGATTTGCCCAGGCCAAGGCCTTGTCAGAGAGTAGTGAGATGAGGAACCCCACCTTTGACCTCTCAGACGGAAAGGCGTGGGGTATTAATTCAAAATAAATACCCACCTGGTTGAGGAACCCACGACACTGACTCGGCTCACCCCCAAAGCGCTGTGGAATAGGGGCTGAACCGGTCATACCTCTGGACACCGCGGGTGCCGCATCAGCCACGGCGGTAGGCACAGCAAGCGGAACGGCATCGGAAGCGACCACCGGAGCGACAACCGGCCTAATAACACCAGGAGTAAGGTGCGCGGTGCGTGCAAGCAGAGTTTGCAACGCCTGAGCGAACTGATCCAACAGGTGATCCTGTTGATCGAGTCTGGCGACTAGCATTGGGAGCGAAGGCGTGCCTGCACCGTCAGGGTTCATGGCACTTGTGTAATGTCAGGGCAGGAGCTGAGGAACGGACAGGCAGGCCTAACAATGTAACGCACTGGCTGACGACAACCACCACCCACAGACCAAAGTCCCTCAGGGCGCGGAGTCTAAGTCCCAGGCTGCCCTTCACCAGGGCCCCTGATGGTGGGGATGGACTTGACGCAGCCAGGAACCAGGTCGCGGCCCCGAGACACCTCAGCTGCGGTAATGGCCGCCGCCAATGGCGTGTAGCTGGTGGAAGAGACAAAAGAGTAGTCAGACAAGCCGGGTCAACAACAACAGGACAGAACAGTACAGGACAGCAGACGAGAATCACAGGTCACGAGCCGGGTTCAGCAACAGAGGGTCAGATCAAAGGAGAACACAAAGAATAGTCAAGACAAGCCGAATCAGATACCAGGAGAGTCACGAGAGTCAGAACAGAGTAACAGCAACACAAAGACACAAGACACAAGTGCAAAGAGCATGTGCGGGCCACAGGCTTATATGTCATCAGCCACACCCCTCTGGAGGATGGACCACAGAAACCTGAAGGCATAAAAGGGCTCCCATCATGCACAGCAGAATCCAAGATGGACACCAGCACATGAAGTAACATAACCACAGGAAAAAGGTAGGACCTTGACACTTACATTGGTGGTCAGTGGTAAAGTATCCCCTTACATTGGTGGTGGAAATTTGTTCGCTGGAGAAACAAATTTAATTCTGCTTCTTTAAATTGTTTTTGTCATTACATTGCAGGCAAATTCACAACTTCTGTTCTGAATACTTTATCCTAGGCCAGTGATTGAGAAAGTATGAAGAAACTGGATTAGCATGACAGCCAAGCAGTCGTGCATATTCAAAAGGAGGTCAAGGATGCCTCACCCACATTTCCTCTATGTTTCCTTTAAATACAAAATTTACAATATATTTTTTTAATTTTTGTTCCTAATACCTCTTAGTAGATTCTACAGTCACATTGCAATATGTGTGGCAAACTTTACATAGAATTTGAAAACGAAAATTTTTGTCTGTAAGGAACTTGTCACGTGACTTTTAAATTTTATGTTTACTAGTCCCCAAATAAACAAGACAAAAACAGACAATCCAGACAGATTTATTCAGAAAATTAGCAAAAATAAACTCAGTTTTCACCCATTCCTTTTTGTCCCATGACAGTTTTTTTTGTTAGGTTATAGATCTGCATTATAATCTCTTTAGGAGTCTGCTTACAGGCTATAGTTTTTGCCTGATTTTCCATGGTATTTACTTGTAGTTCAGAATGTACTGTGGATAGGCTTGTGATTTTTCGAATACTACAAAGATGGATGGACTGTCAACATCATCCACACAGGAGTTGTATATCTGGCTGCTCTTTGGTTTGGGAGGGGGGCGTCTCATTCTTGAATGTCCTTGAATAAAGTCACCCACCAGCACAAGAGCCACAAACATCATTCGTGAGCTGGTGACAGTGCTGATGAAACCATGTGAATAGCATGCATCTCTGGCAAAGTAAGATCCTGGTGGGGAAAAAATATAGATTTATGCTAAAAACAGTATCTCATATCAACAACAATATGTTATTTCTCTACAAATTACAAAATTTAAAGTATACTTTTACCTCTGAACTTCAAAAAGCTAAAAAGTAGGATTTTCTGTTTACCTTTAGACTCATAGAGTACATTACACTACACAGAGCATCTTCATATTCATGACCAGTGGGCTGTAATGTTGACTACAGGTAAAATGACCTGGCATAATCCAGGAAGAACACCCTCCCAGCACAGCTTAAAGTGGTTGTAAACCTCAAATGAAAAATTAATGAGGCATATCCTTCTATAGTGTGCCTCAATCCAAAGTACTAAATGTGATTTTTGTCATTTTTTTGTTTCATTCCTCTGCTATCTTCAGGAATTATTTCTGACAGGCTATTTTTTGACTCCAAAAGAGAGGGGTGTCTCCATTCTCTCCACTCAGGTGTCAGATTACACTCAGTTCCATGCTCTGGAGTGTGTGACATCCCACCCCCTGCCTGCTAGAGCTTAGAAATACTGTGTAAAATATGTTTTTTGGGGCTGTAGAGATGATAGTGCAACAGATAAACAGGTACAACTCATGTAAGAGGATTTGTTTCATGTCTGTGTATCATCAGAGTCACATCACTGAGAATATGTAAGGGTTTATAACTACTTTAACCTCAGTTTTATAATAGATGATGAGGAGTAAACACAAAGAGAGGGTGGATCTCTGTGTCCTGTGAGGTACTCCAAGAAAACCAAAAATCCTACTTTCTTAATTGTACGTCATAGGACACATCTTCATATTCAAAACTATTGGGATGTCCCAAAGCACTGAACATGAGCGATGGGAAACACAGCAACAATGTCAACCAGCAAAAACAGAATAGGGTAAATCCTACTGCACAACCTACTGCTGGCCCAAAACTGGTGTCTGAAGTGGCGAGAAACATCCACCTAGTGAAATGTAGTAAACATATGAACAGAAGACCAGGTAGCATTTTTACAAGGTTGAACAACTGATGCTGAATCCCCCAGAAAGCACTGACACTCCTGGTGGAATGGCCTTGAATGAAAAAGGAGGAACCTTGCCCCTAATGCCACAGGCATGAAATATGAGCTGTCAAATCCACTGAGAAATTGTGGATCGAGAAGCAGCATTACAACCCTCAGACAGAAAATATGAAGAGTCAGGCTGACAAAATGAAGCTGAGTTCAGATACAAATCTACACTGCCCACTCAAATCACATGCAAGGAGTGAAGAACCTTCTCCTGAGGGTGTTTAGGATTAAGGTGGTAACACACTGTTCTATTTCAGGTGGAAAGAAGAAACTGCTTTAGCAAAAAGAGAGCTAAGGCCTCAACACAATCTTATCTTGGTGAAGGTCCAGGAAAAGTTCCTTACAGAAGAGTGAATCCAGCTCCAAGACCCGATGAGCTGAAGTGTTGGCCACCAAAAAGACAACCCTGTGCATAAAAAGCGACAAAGAAATATCTCTGATGGGTTTAAAAGGAGCGGTTTACAAGCCAGACAACACCAAATAAAGTCCATGCAGTTAAGAGAGACCAAACAGGGGGGGACAATCCGCATAACACCTTGTACAGATGTCTGTACCAATGACTGAGCAGCAATAATCCTGTGGAAAAGGATTGCTACGGCCGAAATCTGACCTTTAAATGGTACATAAGGCCAGGGACATTACAATTCTCAGCACAAAAGCTGAGGTTAAGCTGTTTTGGGAGGGAGTTTGCCTGATCAGGGAAGCCTGACATTTCCTTGGCCAGTCTCCATTTACCTAAAGGTGGCAGCATAATCCAATGGTTATGAATAAGAAGATGTTTTGTGATGTACGATTATGAAATTAAAGCTGAACAGAAAGCAAGCAGCCAAATATAGAATTGAGATCCAAAGGATCTGCAATTCCCTTCACCTACTCTTGCAAACAGAACAGCAACTTTCCTGACCTCATTTTCTCCACTACAGTGGAGGAAGACAGGTATGAGGAATTGTGTATAATACTTCTCTACACAATACACCATGAGATGCTCTATATAGTAGACAGGTATGGTGCTAAGTACAACACAGAGGTATAAAGCACTGTATGTAACAGATAACGTAGGTATGAGGCACTGTACATAATACAGCGGTCAGAGGCACTGTATGCAACAGATAGGTATGAAGCACAGTGTGTAATACAGAGTTATAAGGCACTGAATGTAATTAACAGGAGTAACCCACTGTGTGTAATACAGAGGTAGGAGGAATACAGTGTGAAACAGAGACTCACCTTTTCCATATTTATTATTGGTGCTATGGAGGCGCCAGTCGAAGCCCTCATTGCAGATGGCATTAATGTTAACATGATTTGTGCCATGAAACAGCTGGCGCTCATCCACTTCAGTATCCATGTTCTTCCTCCTCATCTGATTCTTCTGCCTGAGACATAAACATGCATAACAACACAGTTGGTTTTTTTAAGAAAAAACAGAATGAATGCCAGGGACAAAATAATTCTGTACATCTCTGCAATATCCACTCATTTACCTATGTTTTTTCTCTTAGAAAATGCTACAAGTAAAGAACAATACCTAGCGGTATGCCAGAAATCCAGTAAGCTCCAAAATTTTAGTGAAAAGACAGCACTGCCTTTGCTGCATTAAAATCCTAAGCAGTATTGCCAGCCCTGTCTGAGTCCCCCCTCCGCTGCACTACCTCTCATCTCCATAACACCAAGGCGGGGGGGGGGGGTAAATCTATAGTCCAGCTAGGGAGAACTCAGCAAAAAAGGCTGCTGTTTACAGAGCTCAATGGTTGAACCATGTAATTAACACAAATAGTCTGCAGTGATCCATTTACCTCCCACCTGCTCTGTTCAGGACTAAACAGAGTTTCAGAGAGAAACAATCTAAAGGCAAACTGCTTCTGCTGTGCATGCTCTTAAGAAAACCCTTTGCTCTGGAAGTTGCGTGCCATGGGTGGGCCCTGTATTAAATACTTATTTACAAAACAATTGAAAGAAATAGTACAAAATACATAAAAAATATCAGTTTAAAGCATAAACATTAAAATAAAATTCACCCCAAGCCAAAATAGTTCCCTTTTAGCTTTCATAGCCCTAAAAGGTGATCTTTACATCCCAAGTTCTGACAGTCCAACAAAAACTCTTAGTATCATTTTTTAACACTTGGAAATCCTGTTGTAGCATGCCTAGTGGATACACATGTAATATCATAGTGCTTGTAGTGAATACATATGCTTCAAGGATTTGTAGTCAGGCCACACATGTTGTCACTACAGGGGGCACACTTATAGGGTCCCAGCGCTATTTTTCTTTATAATAGTAGCCAACATACAACTGATAAGACTGCCAAAGGGCGAGGTTCTGAACACGCCACAATTTCTTCACCGTATACTTGGGCATCGTCTTCATGAACATTGCGGCAATGTTTGAGAACTCCCTGGAATGATTTGGTACGCAAACTTTCTGCAAAAGAAAATGAAGAATGTTTGTATTTCATGCAGTTGTTTTCCACTTAGTACTGAGTTACAGTAGAGAACCTGGGCTGTGTAGATCTGGAGTTACCTGGCCTATGTAGATTGTGGCAACAATTTCTTAATGGTTTTTATTGGTATTAATGGCCCTTTTTTAAAGTTTTTTTCGTTTTGGGTTACAGTATGGATAGGTTAAAACTCCTGTTTTTTTAACAGCTGTCTGTGTTTGTTAGAAAAATGTACTCTGTATTTGTCCTGGTGACAATGGTCACCATTGTAAATTAGACAGAAAGTGATGAAATATTAACAATTTCACAGTTTTCACCAGAAGAAGAGGTGTAGGTAACTCCTCAACTGGGATACCTCTAACACCAGATGTCAACTGCATTGGAGTGTTGTTCATGGAAATAACATTTGTAACCATTCTCTTGTCTATATAAAACAAAAAGGGGGGGGCTATGTATAAAATGTATTGGTTTGTATAGGCATCCATGTGGCACATAGTCTAGGCAGCTTCCTTGTAACCAAGGGCCCCCACATAGATTTGGATTTAGCTGCATAATGCTGTCAGCTTGGAACAAAGCAGGTTAGAACAGCAATCAGGACTAGCAAGTGACCAAAAAACAGGCTAAGGGCTCATTTAGACTTGTAATTGGGGAGGTATTAAAAACACAATTGAGCTGCGTTTTTATTGCCCCCCAACTGCCCAGCTTAGCTGCAAAGGCAGCGGATGGTGCTGTTTAAATGCCGTGGTTGTGATGCTATGCTTCCACCCACAGCAAAAACTATCAATCCTGTAGCGCTTGGCAGGCAGTATCACAGCTGAGCATGACCAATTTAAGTGAATGGGGATACGCTGCAAATGCCTCACAACCACGTGCATTTCACGCAGTTGCAACACATTGGTGAGGCACTACAGGATTACCACAGGGGGAGAGAAGGCCCCCTTCGTCAGACACATCTGAAAAGGTATCCAAATGTAGATCACTTTTCAGAGGCATGGAAGTTTAGACATAAATTTAAACCTAGCCTAAAAGCTCCTTTTTTGCTTAGTCACTGTCTCAGAACACAAAGCAGAATTTCTATTTGCTGTTTAGGGATGTCTCAGTTACATTGTCTTTGCTGTAGTACCCTATATCAGCCAGCAGATGACACTTGTGCACACCTGCAGTTAGCACACCTGGCCAAATGAGATGATATTGATCAGATAGAGATTTGCCAGTTCCCATACAGGGTTGCCAAACTAATTTTTTGTTTCACAAATACACTGCTCAAAAAAAAGTTAAGGAACAGTTTTTAATCAGAGTATAGCATCAAGTCAATTAAACATCTGGGATACTGATCTGGTCAGTTAAGTAGCAGAGGGGTTGTGTCAGAGCCTGGGAACGAGCCTGGGCCTTCTGCAGTGAGAGGCAATGTTTCTTCTCACTGAGCTACCTGGGATGCTAGACTATACTCTGCCTGATCTATTGGATAATCCTGCCTTGTGTCTTGTTTTCTCTTGAACCTTGAACTCCTTGCTCCTCCCATGAACTTCCTATAAAAGCCATGTCCATGCACTTCCTCCTTGCCAGATTATTGTGCCTTCCAGCCAATTTACCGCTCCTCCTTACTACTGCCATCTATATCGTTTGTGACCGACTTTTGGCTTGTGACTGACTTCACTTTTGTCTTTTCCCTAAACTGTTTGATCCGCTCTTGGTTTCCAGCTTGCCCTTTCCCTGGTGGGGTGATCCTGAGACTTCGACCTGGTATTTATACGCAGCCAATTCCATCTCCACATTGGCGCTCTGGGGAAGACCGGTGGATACTTAGACCCCGCACCTCAGGTGAGCCTGCGGCATTCCCAGGGTGAAACGCTGGTGTACCAATCCTGCTGGTTTCAGGTTAGCCTTACAACTGCTGTAGCAATTGGTCTCTGAACCTGGCCTCACACCTTGACAAGTTGTTTCAGCTTCAGCTGCTTTGGTGTTAATGAAGTTAACAACAGGTGCACTAGATGGGCAACAATGAGACGACCCCCAAAACAGGAATGGTTTTTACAGGTGCAGGTCACTGACATTTTTTTCCCTACTCATCATCTTTTCTGACTGTTTTTCACTAGTTTTGCATTTGGATAAGGTCAGTGTCACCACTGGTAGCATGAGGCGATACCTGGATCATACAGAGGTTGCACAGGCAGTTCAACTCCTCCAGGGTGGCACATCAATACATGCCATTGCCAGAAGGTTTGCTGTGTCTCCCAACACAGTCTCAAGAGCATGGAAAAGATTCCAGGAGACAGGCAGTTACTCTAGAAGAGCTGGACAGGGCTGTAGAAGGTCCTTAACCAATCTGCTCCTTTTTGCAAGGAGGAACAGGATGAGCACTGCCAGAGCCCTACAAAATGACCTCCAGCAGGCCACTGGTGTGAATGTCTCTGACCAAACAACCAGAACCAGACTTCATGAGGGTGGCCTGAGGGCCCGACATCCTCTAGTGGGCCCTGTGCTCACTTCCCACCACCAGAGAGCTTGATTGGAATTTGCCATTGAACACCAGAATTGGCAGGTCTACCACTGGTGCCCCATGCTTTTCACAGATGAGAGCAGATTCACCCTGAGGACATGTGAAAGGGTCTGGAGAAGCCATGGAGAACATTATGCTACCTGTAACATTGTTCAGCATGACTGTTTCGTTGGTGGGTCAGTGATGGTCTGGGGAGGCATTTCCATGGAGGGACGCACAGACCTCTACAGGCTATACCAGTGGTCGACAAGCTGCGGCTCGTGAGCCACATGCGGCTCTTTACATACTTTAATGCGGCTCTTCTGTGTGCCGGGTGCCCGCTCCCCTCCCTCCTCTCGGGCGGCCGCCCCCAAAAGTCAGGACTCTGCAGCTAGCCCAGCAATGGGCAAACTACGGGCCGGCGGACCTTTTAATCTGGCCCGTGGCAAACATTAGCTGTCAGGATGTAGGCGGGGCAGCGTGACAAACTCCTCTCCTCTCACAGTCCGCCCTGAAGACTGGAACGGCGCGGGAACACGGCGAGAGGAACGCGCGGAGCAAAGGTAAGTGAATTGACACAATATGGGGAATGAATTACTATAGGGGGGATGAATTACTATAGGGGGGATGAATTACTATAGGGGGGATGAATTACTATGGGGGATGAATTACTATATGGGGGATGAATTACTATGGGGGATGAATTACTAAAGGGGGGATGAATTACTATAGGGGGGATGAATTACTATATGGGGGATGAATTACTATGGGGGATGAATTACTATATGGGGGATGAATTACTATGGGGGATGAATTACTATATGGGGGATGAATTACTATGGGGGATGAATTACTATATGGGGGATGAATTACTATATGGGGGATGAATTACTATATGGGGGATGAATTACTATATGGGAGATGAATTACTATAGGGGGGATGAATTACTATATGGGGGATGAATTACTATGGGGGATGAATTACTATATGGGGGATGAATTACTATGGGGGATGAATTACTATATTGGGGATGAATTACTATGGGGGATGAAATACTATATGGGGGATGAATTACTATATGGGGGATGAATTACTATGGGGGATAAATTACTATGGGGGATGAATTACTATATGGGGGATGAATTACTATGGGGGATGAATTACTATAGGGGGGATGAATTACTATAGGGGGGGATGAATTACTATATGGGGGATGAATTACTATGGGGGATGAATTACTATATGGGGGATGAATTACTATATGGGCAATGTATTTTCAGTTTTAAAAATGTGGCTCTCAAAATAAATTTCAATCGTGGTTTTGGCGAGATTTGGCTCAGTTGAAAAAAAGGTTGCCCACCACTGGGCTAGACAATGGCACCCTGACTGCCATTAGGTATCGAGATGAGACCCTATGCTGGTGCAGTGGGTCCTGGGTTCCTCCTGGTGCACGACAATGCCCAGCCTCATGTGGCGTGAGTATGCAGGCAGTTCTTGGAGGATGAAGGTCCAGATTTTGGAGGAAATATCCCAGGTCACCATCCATCATCTCATTTGGAGCATGCCCCAACGTTGTTAGGCATGCACGCAAGCACGTGGGGCCCATACAAATTACTGAGTACAATTTCAAGTTGCTGCAATAAAATGTCATCAAAATGGACTAGCCTACTGCATAATTTTTTCATTTTGATTTTCAGGATGTCTTTGAATTCAGTCTTCTGTAAGTTGATAATTTTCATTTCCATCAAACGATGGGGCATCCTTACGTTTCTAACACATTACCAGGTCCATATCAGTATAGATATCCAGTATGATATTTTTCCCCATTGAGATCTGATGTTTTTTCAAAGTGTTCCTTTAATTTTTTTGAGCAGTGTAGAAGAAAAGGGAATTTTTAACTAAGCAGGGTATACATGCAGTTTGTTCCGTGGAAAAAAACCCAAAAAACCCTCATAGATCCCTACATCTACACAAGTGATGTGGATGCATGGATCTTTCCTGCAATGCTATTATATTCTGACAGCAGGGACTTCCCCAGCTAGAATACACTGATCATCACTGCAGATAATTCAATATCCTGGAGTACAGTAAGCTGGGCAACAGAGGCTTGATTAGCTCAGAGGAAAGGGACTCATCCCCAAAACACATCAGCGAAGCGGACCACATTGACAGTCGGAACACCCTGCCCTGTTTTGGCCATCTCGATTTCCATACTATTCTTTACAAACATGCTATGTCTGTGAGTATGTCTTCATCTTTTTGACTTTTTAATAAACCTTGGATAATGCACTAGGTGTTTGCGCCACCTGTTTGCTCTTTTTAACAGAGGCTTGATGTCTATATACCCAGGAAACTTCTATCAATCTGGTAAAGTGAGCATGTATTTATGCTTTGTCCTTTAGGGTGTAAGCTTTTGAGAGTAGTTGTCTTGTCCACATAGCGGTGTGGATATTAAAACAGGGTGTCCCTTGCAAGGCCCTGAGGATAAGATAAAAGGAGAGTCC